CGTCGCCCAACGTTCAGAAAAGAATACGGCCGCCGAGACAAGCGAAAGAAACACAAAATAAGCAAAACCCAACTTGAGTTCTCAAGCGAAAACCCCCAGAAATTTGAACGTGACTTTCCCCTCAGCCCAAAGCAGGCCAAACCACAACCCGTTGGACTCGGCAAAGCCGCACCCAAAGAGGCCGTGTCAAAAACCCTTGGGTTCTGCAGCGCGAAACCCAGGGAATTGGCATGGTTTTCCACTTCAGCCCAAAGCAGGCCATACCGAAATTCGTTGAATTCGGCAGAACCAAACCGAAGGATGCAATGCCAAAATCCGTACCCAAAGGATTGTTGACATGACTGTCCCTTGTGCCTAAAGCAAGCCAAACCACAACCCGCTGGATTCGGCAAAGCCACACCCAAGGAGGCCGTGCCAAAATTCCTTGGGTTCTGCAGCGCGAAACCCAAGACATTGCGACATGGCTTTCCACTTCAGTCCGAAGCAGGTTCGTTGGAATCGGCAAAGCCAAACCCATGGAGGCCATGTCAAACCCCCTTGGGCTCTGCAGCGCAGAACCCGAAAGACTTGTGACATGACTGTACTTTCAGCCGGAAACATGCCAAACCACGACCCGTTGGATCCAGCAGAGCCGCACCCAAGGAGGCCGCGTCAAGAACCCTTGGGCTCTGCAGCGCAAAACCGAAGGAATTGCGACATGGATTTCCACTTCAGCCCAAAGCAGGCCATACCGAAATTCGCTAAATTCGGCAGAGCCAAAACGAAGGATGCAGTGTCGAAATCCGTACCCCAAGGGGTTCTGGCATGACTGTACCTGTGCCCAAGCAAGCCAAACCACAATCTGTTGGATTCGGCAATGCCGTGCCCAAGGAGGCCGCGCCAAAATCCCTCGGCTTCTGCAGCGCGAAACCCAAGACATTTTGGCATGGCTTTCCTCTTCAGCCCGAACCAGGCCATACCGAAATTCGTCTGACTCGGCAGAGCCAAACCCACAGATGCCATGTCATAATCCCATGCCCAACGAATTTTGGCATGGCTGTTCCTTCAGCCGGGAGCAGGCCAAACCACGACCCGTTGGACCCAGCAGAGCCGCACCCAAAGAGGCCGCGTCAAGACCCCTTGGGCTCTGCACCGCAGAACCCGAAGGACGTGTGACATGACTGTTCTTTCAACCGGAAACAAGCCAAACCACGACCCGTTGGATCCAGCAGAGCCGCACCCAAGGAGGCCGCGTCAAGAACCCTTGGGTTCTGCAGCGCAAAACCGAAGGAATTGCGACATGGCTTCCCACTTCAGCCCAAAGCAGGCCATACCGAAATTCGTGAAATTCGGCAGAGCCAAACCGAAGGATGCAGTGTCGAAATCCGTACCCCAAGGGGTTCTGGCATGACTGTACCTTGTGCCCAAGCAAGCCAAACCACAATCCGTTGGATTCGGCAATGCCGTGCCCAAGGAAGCCGCGCCAAAACCCCTTGGCTTCTGCAGCGCGAAAATCAAGACATTTTGACATGGCTTTCCTCTTCAGCCCGAACCAGGCCATACCGAAATTCGTTTGACTCGGCAGAGCCCAACCCGAAGATGCCATGTCAAAATCCCATGCCCAAGGAATTTGGGCATGGCTGTTCCTTCTGCCGGAAACAGGCCAAACCACGACCCGTTGGATCCAGCAGAGCTGCACCCAAGCAGGCCGCGTCAAAACCCCTCGGGCTCTGCACCGCAGAACCCAAGGCATTTTGACATGGCTTTCCTCTTCAGTCCGAAGTAGGTCATACCGAAATTCGCTGGAATCGGCAACGCCAAACCCAAAGATGCCATGTCAACACCCCATTGGTTCTGCAGCGCAGAACTCGATGGACTTGTGACATGACTGTTCGTTCAGCCTAAAGCAGGCCATGCCGCAATTTCTTCGGATTCGCCCAAGCCAAAACTGAGAAGGCTACGTCAAAACTCAGCGGGTGCTGCGGCGCACCAAAAAAAAAACATAATGCCGACATGGCATTTCTTCAGCCCAAACAATACCGCAACCCCTTAGATTTGGCAGGGCCAAGCCCAGCGAGGCCATGCCAAAAACACGTGGATGTTGAGCGCCAGCCGGATCTTGAGCCACAGTGGAACGGGGCGCGCGAATGGTGGGGAACCGCGCGAGGACGCAGTGCGAGGAGCGTGCCGATGCGCGGCTGGAGCAATGGTAAACTTAAGCCCACCAGCCCTCTAGGGCGCAGGTGGTCTAAAGCATTTCCTCTTCCAACCCGAGATGGCCCCAGATGGCTCAAGATGGCTCCAAGAAGGCCTCAGAGATTCACGTAAACAGGCCCAACGCCTCTGATGCCACTGCTACGCTGTGCGTCTGATGCAGCCACGTTGATTCGCTACTCGCCTTGCGGCCTTCAGGCGTAGAATGCCTGGGGCCTTGCCTACCCGACGCCCTACTTCTTACCCTAAGCTTGCCTAAGAACGGGCCTCGGGTAGGCCTATGGGGCAAAGCCCCGGGGCAAGGCCTGGGGGTAGGCATGGGGTGGGCCTAAGGATAGGCTCTAGGAGTAGGCCGCAAGGGCACGCCCTAGGGGCAGGCCGTAGGGTTGGGCCCTCGGGGCAGGCCCCAAGGGCAAGCCGAGGATACGCCTAGGGGAAAGCCTAACGCAGGCCTAGGGGTAAGCCCCAGGGGTAGGCCTCTGGGGTAGGTTTAGGGGTGGACCTAGAGGTGGGCCCAAGGCAGACCTAGGGGCAAAATTCTAGGGTGGGCCTATACACGCGAGTGTGTGTGTGTGTGTGTGTGTGCGTGTGTGGTGGCGCAACGTTGCACTGCGGCCCAGCGGTGCTCCTCGCCCTCTCGGGCGTCGCCCTGGATACGTGGCGCGCCCTCTCCCGCGGTCGCTTGAAGCAGGTGTACATGACGCGCCGCCGACGGCACCACCACCACAGCATGTTGCTTCTTCCGGTGCTTCGCCACCGGGTTCCTGTACAAGGCGTTCCTTGGCATGCCCATCGCCTTCGGCACCGCCTGATTCCGGGGCTTTGCCCTCTCCTGGCCTTCGCGTGAGGCCCCTCCTTCTGCCTTCGCCCCTCTGTGAATTAAAGCTGCGCGCGGCCCGGTTAGCTTCGACCGGAAGAGGCTCGCTCTCGACCCGCGGATCAAAAAGTGCGTGTGTGTGTGCGTGTGTGTGTGTGTGTGTGTGTGCTAGGTGTGCAAAGTCAGAGCCATAATTTAGTCATTTTTGTGTGTGTCTGTGTGGCTTTTGTGTCTTTTTGTGTTTTTTATGTTCCGTCCGGTGTTTTTTTTTTTTTTTTTTTTGTTTGTGTTTTTTTGTGTGTTGGTTTGTGTTTTTTGTGTGTGTTTTTTGTGCGGGAGGAATCTGCCGCGGTCGATCGCCCAGGAGGGTTCGAGCGCCGCCCCGGCGCGGATCGCCCCCGCCAAGGTTCCCTTAAAAGGGAGAGCTTCGGCGTGGGCTTTTCCCGCGGGCGCCCCCGCTCGCCTGGGAGGGCGCGGGGGGTCCTGGATCGTCTGGGGGGGGGTTCCAGGAAGGGCCGACTCGCCCTGGCGGGGGTCGGTCCGAGCGGTGGAATCGCCCGGGGGGGTCTCCGCCACTCAGTGCCTGCGCGAGTCGCCCGGGGTGGTCTCGCGCGGGAACAGCCCTCGCGCATCGCCCAAGGGGGCCCCACGGGGGCGAGGTAGCCCGGGGGGGCGCCTGGGAGGACAGTGCACGGCGCGAAGGGTTCCCGCAAATCTTTCGCGGGACTCTCGCGAATTCGTCGCGGGGGGCCCGGGCTCTCGCAAATTTTTAGCGGGAGGCGCAACGGTCTGGACAGTCGCGCAGGGGGGGGGGCGAAGAAGAGAGGAGGGAAAGTCCGATGCCAAAGCCTCGAGGGCCACCTCCGGAGCCAAGCGAATGACGGACAATTGGAGCAGGGAGTGGCTAAGGATAGAGAAGGGGGGCGAAGGACAAGAGCCGGAGGGGAGCGCGAGCGGCGCACCGAGGAGCAAAAGCGGAGAGAGAGGTAGTTCTCCGGTTGATCACGCCAAGAGAAGGGCGAGGTTGATGACTAAACTCAGGCTCTGACTTTGCACACGTAATGTGTGTGTGTGTGAATGCGTGCGTGCGTGCGTGCGTGTGTGTGTGTGTGTGTGTGTGTGCGCGGTGGGTGGTGGTGGGGGCGGTCTAGATGGGCCTAGAGTAGACCTCGGGGTAGACCCGAGGGGTAATCCTATGATGGCGCGTCGGGTGGGCCCAGGATAGGCCTAGGGGTAGGCTCTGAAAGTGAGCCTAAAAGTAGGCCTAGGGATGGTATGTGATAGTTATGGACAATCTCTGAAAGGTTAGCCCACGCACACTGGGGCCCCAGAGATATCATATACATGCGGAAGCCACTGCGAGGCTCTTGAGATCCCTGAGGCTTCGAGTTTCTGAGGCTACGAATTAGGAGTGGGACGCGCTTGCCCGCGGTGGCTCAAGAGCAGCACCCTATCCAATATATTGCAGTGGAGAGGGTGGATGTGAGTCGCCGCGAACACGACGCACCACAAGTGATCAGGATAGAACCTCTGTTGCTGATCCTGATCGGATCTGAGACTGACGGGGCGGGAAAAGTGGCGGACAATAACTGAGTGCGATGTCCTTTCAGCCCCCACGCCTCCGCGTCCAGACTGACGAGGACGAGACTCTATGAGTGCCCTCTCCTATCGCACCCCTGTCCCACATCTTAAAACTGCAGTCCATAATCGCCTTGCAACCAGAGCCGTCGGAATGAATGAAGCCCCCAAATCTCCGCATGCACACTGACGACGACGAGACTCCGTGAGCGCCCTCTCCTGTCGCACCCCTGCCCCCATATTCTGAAGCTGCAGCCAACGACCGACTTGCAACTAGATTCCCCTCGCTGCGGCGCAGCTCGCGCCCGCTGGATACCTACCCCAAAGATGCGCGAGCCGTCGCGCGCTGACAAGACTCGTCTTTGAACGTGGCCCCCCAAGCCGACAGTAACATCTTCGCGGCAAAAGCGACCTGCTTATTATCATGGCCCTGGCACGCCTCGGCTACGCGCAGCGGCCCCGAGCCCGAGCGGCCGATGGAGCGCTGCGTGACAATGCAATCCAGCAAGGTGCCTAGCAGCGGCAGCGCAGCTGGGGGCCCGCGCGAAGGCCCACCCTCGCTCGCCGGTCGCAGAGAATTGATGCACAGCTTCACGCCGTTGAGGGCCAACTTTGCCAGCTTCTGGAACGGCGACTCCACGATGCTTTCTTTCATGTCGCCGAACTCCTGCTTGACGTCCTCGAGATCACCTGGCTCCCCGTCGTCGCCCGCGTCGGACTCCGCGGATTCCGACTCCGAGCTCTCGGCGTGCGACCCCGCTTGGCAATCGGCGGCCCAGTAGATGTGAGCTAACAGCCCGCGCTTGTTTACGCGTGGTCCAAGGCGGTTTTCCGACGCCGCTCCTGCGATGGAGAAGTCCCGCTCGCTCTGCGACCCGGACATCCTAGAAGCACAAAGCCATGTCGCAGGTAAGTATAGCACGCTGGCGTCCTCTGCGTCGTCGTAGAACCTCATGCTGTACCACTCGCACGTGGAAATGCCAACGGGGCATTTCTCAGCCTCGGGCCAGATCTTTCGGCGACAGCTGTCGCCGTCGTTCAAGGACCAAATCCCAACCTTGCCCACGAGCTGCTTCCACAACTGGAACGCACGGCTGGCGGGACTCTGTAGAACTTTTCGAAGTGCGACTCCAAAGCCGCCAGAAAAAAAAAAGGGTTCACCGACTCCAGGGAGGCTTCGAGGAGGAACTTCGGCCGAAGCAAGTGGCCTGCCATGTGGTACTTCCCGCGCCAGATGTCGAACCGCCGCTTGAACTCGGTCTTCAGGGGCGCGACCATGTCCGTCTTCGTGTCATCGGGAAAGCTCATATTCGCGATCGCTTCGCGAGAAGGCTCCTTTGCGGCGTCCCACATGTCAATGGCGCACGACACTCCGGCGACAGGGTTTGCGCCCCCAGCGCGCAGCGCCTCGTGAATTGGCTTGAGCACTGCGCGCGCGCCCCTGAGTCTTTCCACCAGGCCGCCTCGGAACAACTCTCTTGCCTTTTTGTATGTGTCCCTGCTCGTCTTGTCTGCCACTGAGCTCTCCGCCGAAGCGCCGTTGCGCTGAAGTGCAGCCACCCAATGACCTACTGGAGTACGAAGAATATTCTGGACATCCGGGACGCGCTCCGGAAGCGCGTCATCTGGGCGCGCGCGTGGGCGCGCATCTTACGGCCAGGGGGTGGCTTGAAACGGCCCACGTTGGGCTGGGCTGATCGGAGGCGCCCGAGCAGCTTGAAGTTGTTCTCGGCGAAGCCGCTCACTTCGTCCGCCGACAGGAAAGCCTCCCCGGCAAGCTCGAGCCCTTTGGAAGGCATCGTTTCTTTTCCATCGCCCTTCCACTCGCCCAAGAGGCCCTCTGTCAGGAGATTAGTCGCGTGCATCCAGCAGCGCAAAGCGATCGGGATGAAGCCGTGGACCACCTCGAACTTTACTTTCGCGATGTGCGATGCCTTCTGATCCGCAGCGAGACCGTCTGCAGCAATGCTTGCGACGCCGCAACTTCGCGCGCGCAAGCTGGGGGGGCCTCGTCAACAACTGCTCCGCGATGCCGTCGTCCCCGTCGGACTTCTCCTCGCCCTCACTGCCCGATGAAAATGGCATCCCCTTGCGGAGTCGCACGCAGAAGGTCCCGGCCATGCTCTCCCAGCACCTTGCCGCCGTCCGTGAAATCGACGACTTACCCGCCAGGACCGCATCCTCATGGCAAACTACATCTTTCTCCGCCCTCTTCATCCTGCTCGTCTCCCGGAGCTCGCACTCACAAAGCGGGGCCCACTCCTTCAGGCCGCTGCGGCCGAGCTCGGTCAAAAAAAGGCGGGGGCGAGGATCCGGGGCCAACCTGAAGGGCGCTTGCATTCGTAGAAGACTTTGGCCATCGCATCCACATGCTGGGCCTGTAGGCCCACTCCGAAAGTCGCCTCCGAGATTCTCTGCCTCTGCTGCGGGGCCGTTTGCAATTCCCCCATGGTCGCGGGAGGGCCCCGCTCGGACAGGCCGTGCAAGCTGCGCACCCGGTTGCGCGTGGCCAGTGGCAAGGCGCCCGCGCGCGGCTTCGCTGGCGCTGCCTGTGGGTGGAGGGGAACAATGCAGATCGAGCTCTCTCGGCCCTCCCCCACCCCTCCTCCTCGAGAAATCCCAGGGAAGGAGAGGGAAGGAAGAATGCCCAAATAACTGGATCTGCATTGTCTTCCCCCGCCAAGCCTCGCCCGCCTCAGACGAGGCCATCGCGCGGTGCAGCGGCCGCTGCCCAGCCGAAGCAGTGAACGCATTGTCGAAGTCTGGGCAGGATCTGCATATCCAGCGGCGCTGCGCGCCCGTGCTTCTACCAGGCTCTTGCCTGCCACCCGGCCCTTCTTGCGGGCCTCCTTCTCCGCGTGCTGCTTCGGCTCTGCCGAACTCAAACGCAGCAGCTTCCTCCTCGGAACGCCGCGGGCCGAGGCGGCCGCGGCCTCCCCATGCCGAAGGGTTCTGGAGAGGATGGCCAGAAATCCTATCAGCCCGAGCAGCGCAACAGCTACGGAAGAGGCTGTTTATATTCTGGCAGAGACTGTCTTGCATATGGAACTCCTTGGGAATGCAATCCACGGACCCTTCGGGCCTGAACAAGCTTGGCACTCACCTCCTGAAGCGCTCAACACCAAACCGCCCGAAAATTGATTTACTTGGGGCTTTGAGTCTGAATTTGCCATGCTTTCCCCTTCCCCTGGGCGGCTCTCCGACCGCCAAGCGCCGACGCTTTCGCAGTCGGGCGAGACAGCGACGACAGGGGCGAAGGGAGACAGCGGCGTGGAGAGCGAGGCTCTTGAATCACACAATCGAGATAAGGCTCTCAAGCCGCTGCACGCACACTGACGAGGACACGCGCACCGAGACTCCATGATTCTCTTCTCCAAGCGCACCCCTGCCCTGGGTCAGCACGCGCGACCATCGTCGCCGCCGCCCGCCCCGCGGAAGCACGGCGACGGGCGCGAATGCGCTGCGCCACCTCGAATCGCTTCGAGCAGCGCGGAGGAAGGCCCAGGAAGAGAATCAAGCGGTAGATGCTGCACCCGCCTCATCGTCAGCAGGGTAGCAAGCGTAATCAAGGCCCTCGCTGCGGCGGGCCGTGGCCACGTCGACGGGCTCCACCGCGGCGCGCTCCGCAGCCACAGCGGGGCTGATGCAATACTCGGCCATCTGGGCCGCGAGCGCCTCCCAACGCTCACGGAGCATCACTTTCGCGGACGCGTCGAACATGACGTCGAACTCCTTCACGGCCGCGTTGACGTGGCGGGGGTGGACGTGGAGCTCCGCCACCGAGGGCAAGACGACGGTGGCCGCGCCGCCAGCAACAAATTGCCGTTGAGCCTCAACATGAAAACGGTTGCAGGCCACGAGGTCCAACGCGTGAAAAAAAGTTTGGCCTCCGCCAACTTCCGCTTGATCTTGCGCGCCTCCACCCGGGGGCGGGCGTCGCGCCAATGCTCGCGCCAGCTCTTTCACCGCAGGTTGGAGAGCCAACCTGCGCGATTCGCCGTACGAGACTCTGGAACCGCGCTGCTTGGCCGCGCTATCCACGATGGTATTGAAGAGGCCGGCGGGCATGACGAGCCCGTTGTGCGACCCGCTGCGAGATCGCTTGGTCGACGCCTGCTGCTCTGCCACCGTGCCCATGCAGATTTTGAAGAGCTTGCCCTTGCCATCTGCTATCTGGATGAACGGGGCTTCCAGCGCCTCGTGCGTCTGGACGGCGCCCGCGACTGCGGACGTCGCGGTCCGTTGCAAAGAACCCTTCCTGCACGCGGGATGATCGCCGTGGGTGGCGATGCGGGCCAACAGGCTGAAAGCGTCGATCGCGCGCTGGCCCTGCTTCTGCAAAGCCGCAGCGCGGTCCGCGCCCATGGCTGCATGGGCGTCGCCCTCCATCTACTGCTACGCCTGCTCCACCGCTTTCTGGAAGCGCTTCCCTTTGAACCTGGCGCCTGCCTGGAGGTCTTCCAGATGCTGCTTGACCACGCCCCGCATGTCTTTCAACGCCCTGGGTCCGGAACGCCGGGGCAATGCCTCGGCGCGCAAAAAGCCTTCACCACTCGGTAATGCTCGTTCTGGACATCGGCGTGGGATGCACCCGACCGCCCCCGATCCGGGGACCCTGACCAGCGCGCGGCATCTGACGATGCAAAGGCAACGACGGTTTGGCCCGCGTCACCCCGGCGCCGAGAGCGCCGAGGAGTTGCCCCCCCCCCTGCGCCCTCCTGCTGGGCCTGGACAAGGCCAGTCGCAGAGTGCCAGATTTTACGCGGAACTCCAAGACCCGTGCCGAGACGGTTCCAAATGGCCACGGTTCTAAGCGAAGCTCCCGAGATGGCTGTCGGCCCTGGGCTTCTTCGCTGCCGGCGACGCCGGCTCCTCCTCAGGGGCGACGGCGCAAGCATCAATCGTGCTTCCTGACTGGCCCTCTACCTCCTGAGCCTGCGCGGGCGGGCCCCCGTCGGCCCCCCCAAGTGGCGCCGCCTCCTCGTAGTCGGCACCGAAGCCGCAGTGTTCCACCCTGCCGCCAGCAGAGCCCTCCACGATTCTGCGGAGGACGCGAACCGCCAGGTCCCCTGCCGAGTGCGCGACCTCGTGGAAGCTGCCCGCGCGGCCGTGGTGGATGCCAACTTTGACGCCGCAAGCTGTCGCGACTGTCTCAAGTTCACTGAGCCCGTCTGGCGGGTCGCCGACCAAGAGCTCGGAGGCGAGAGCCTCGTGGCCGCTGCTCTGCAACTCCCGCGCCACTGGCGCTACGAGGTTCTTCGCGGCCTGAAGCTCGGAAGCGCATTCCCCGCTGAACCCGCCGGCGCTCCGAGGCAGCACTTGCCACTGGGCGATGGCAGCGGGCCCTGCTCGCCCCAAGCGAATGCAATGGAGCGCGCAGCGGCCATCTCGCGGCATGGCCAAGACCGAATGAGCAGGCGCCATGGTGCCTTGCAGGCTCCACTCGATTGACCGATGGGTTTCGCTAGAGCCCGGGCAGCGGCGGGGGCGAAGCCTCAAATATAGCCCCAGCAGGCCCCCGAGAGGCCACCGCAATACCTCAACGATCATCACCATGATCATTATAACCATGGCCATCCTCATGAACACCGCTGTCCTCACCACGGCCCCCGAAGAGGCCCGCTTGTATCCGAGACCGTTGCAAGATAGCCCTTCGGCGCGCTCAGTTGAGCATCATTTCTGGATGGGCTGGTGGGGGTCCATTCTCGGCGCGCGGGCGCGCGAGACACGGGGCGCCAGCGCCCCCCCCCCCCCCCCCCCCCCCGCGGTCAGCTGCGAGCGCGCATCTAAGCGCTGACGAACACACACGTACGCGCGCCAGTTTACTTGCACATTGCTCGAAAACTTGCGTATATCAAGCACCCTCTCCCTCCCTCCCTGCCTGCCTCCCTCTGTCCTTCCCCCCCCCCCCCCCCCCCCCCCCCCCCCCACCCCCCCCCCCTCCCCCCCCCTCCCTCCCCCCGCGCGGACAAGGGCAGAGACGAGGGGGGTAGGGGGGCGGGGGATAGGCAGGTCAGTGGGAGAGCGAGGGCGGCAGGAGGGAGGGGGGCAGGAAAAGAGGGAGGGATGGGGGGGGGGGGAAGAGGACGGGGAGTAGAATGAAAGAGGGGGGGGGAGGAGAAGGGAAATGGGAAGGGGGGGGCGAGGCTGGAGGAGGGGGGGGCCGCCCGCCCGCGAGGGCCGGAGGACGAAGGGGGGAAGGGGGAAAGGGAGGTGAGTGAGAGAGGGAGGGGAAAGGGAGGGAGGGAGGTCATTGGGAGAGGGAGGGAAGCAAGGAGAGAGGGGGGAAGGGAGGGAGGGAGGCAGGAAGGAGGAGTAGGAGGAGGGGGAGGAGGAGGAAGAGGAGGAGGGGGAGGAGGAGGGAAATATGGAGGACAACAAAAGAGGAAGGCTGGAAGAGGAGGGAGGCCGCCACCCGC